TCTCCCCTCCCCCTCCCCCTCCCCTCTCTCTCTCTCCCTCCCCTTTCCTACCTCTCACTTTCTCTCTCTCATTCTTTCATGGTTCCTTTGTCTGCTACCGTGCGGAAAACTGAAGGCTCGAACGCACGAAGGGATCATGAATGAATTCGCTGTGTGACGCCTCTTTATCGTCAGGATTCCTCAAATCTCTCTATACATAAAACTGTCCCTACCGGCGGGCGGCCACACGAACGGACGCGAACGAAGAGTGGATGACCTATGATACGGTCGAGAATATACGGTACGCGTACATAGCACTGAAAGAGTACCGGCTTCGTTATATCACACAAACCGTCCCTTCTTTTTGTTTATTTCACGATAACGTCTACTTGATTTCTCCGTCTTTCTCGAGGCCGAGGAAGAAAGGAAAAAAAGGAGACAACGAAAAAGGAGAAAGGCGAACACGCATGACGTAAGCTCATACAACATTATAGCATAGGGTTTGATTGCGATATTTTGTGGACTCTAGAACTTTACAGGAAACTACCAATAACTTTACTGGAATGCGAAGAGAATCGAGATTGCTCTCATCGTTGTAGCTTAGTCTTGAGCTTCTTTCTATATTCGAGTTCACGAATCTAGGTTAAACTATTTTCACACGATTTTCGCTTTAAAATATCGGTGCTATATATGTACTATGCGCGATATATTTGAAACACTTCGCGTTCAATTCATGTAGATGTAAAAAAAAATTTAGCGTAGCTGCTCTGTGTATTCGAGCTACTTGTTGCAAAAAATTTAAGAAGATTAATACAAGGTATAATTGCGATCACGATTTTTCCGGCACTTCCGATGATCTAACAAAAATTAATTTGGATTAAAGTTAATCAGTTTTCGGCTACAAATTGCAATATTAAAAATTTGCAAAATAGTCTTTTTTAGGAAAAAAGTCACCCTAATTTTTTTAAATGGCATTACATATTTTTTACTTCATAATATTGTAACTGGTGTCAAGACGAGTTCAATTTCAATTTCAATTTTTGCTGTACTATGATCTTGAGATGACCTTACAGTTGTGGGATTAACGAACGGAAACGTTTTCGTGAAAAATTATTTTATTTGTATTAAATTTTTTATATGGACTATTCTACAGAAGAAAAAGATTTTTGTATCTGTTACTTTTTCATAGACGTGGATTCTTGTTTTTTAAATGAAACTATATATAAAACAACAAATTATAAACAAAAATAGTAGCATAATAAAAAAGTAGAACAAAAAATTATAACAAATTTAATGAAAGAAATTATGTAATTACAATAAATGCCCGAATATAGTCCATTTTCTTAGTAGGCACAATTCTGCTCTATGTAATAAATTTCTATTAGTTGTTCCTATAATTCTATCACGGTGAATTTCTTCGCATGCTGCACGAATTCATTGCTTTAAATATTCTATATTTTGAATTGATACCGCGTAGACTATTGATTGCAAATGATAGAAAAAAATCTGATGACAAATCGGGAGACCGAGGTAGCCAAGGAATTGGTCCGTAAGAAATTGGCCCAACCAATGTTCTCCGTATTTTGAATTTATTAGTACAACTTTGCTTCCACCGTTTTTTTCCGAAATTCGAGGCTTTATTGTAAAAAACTGGTTATACATTTATGATTCAAAGTATTGTCCATCGCTGGCCACTACTTTCTCCCATCTTTCGGGC